CATCCGGTTACAAAACTCTTGGCATACAAATAAGGTGTACAGAGTAGTTATTAACTTTTTAAAGTTGAATGTTAAGGAATCAAATTACCGAAAAAACGAAGTGAATGTGTGAATCTAAATGTTGCAGATAAAAATAAAATAAATCTTGGGAGAGTTAATAAATTAGTACATATTTGACACACAAATATATATCAATAAATATATCATAATTTTGAAAGTAGTGGACTAGATGATTTCTAATTATATATATCTATATATATATATCTTCAATGTTCAACAAGAGTATCATAATCACTAATAAGCTAAAATCGAGTCTAATCCATAAATTCAAGTAACTTTAGCAGGACTCTATGATTAATCTTAGTATAACTCAAAATATAAAAATTTAATTTAAATTTGTCAAAATGAAAATCAAGTTTGAAATATAGTTGAAATATTTTCTCTCTATTAAAGTCGAATTTATCTCTATTCATCCAATCTTTTAAAAATTTACCAATGAATAAACGAAAGGATAATTAGTTAAAAAAAAAACATACACACATGAAAGGATGATTATCAAAATAATATATAAATGCAATTAGGGAATATCTTAATTTTGATAATAATAATAAAATTAAGAACTATAATTTAGCTGTACATTCAAAATGAAAGAGTCAGATTTCATATTCGAGATTTCATGATCAAATCTTTGCGAAGGTAAAGTGGGTATACGTCTTTGGAAATTAAAAAAAATTAAAAAATAAAAATAATTATAACAACTTGGCGCGTGGAATGACAAAGACAAAGAGGTGTGAAGATTGAAACATATTTATATTATATTAGTAGTATATTTGTAAGGATATAGACCCCATTAGGCTCACATGGTTAGTGGGAAACTGACCCCACTCCAACCCATCACCTCAAGAAATTAACATTCATCCCCAAAGTAGAAGAAGAGACACCAATGGCTTTTGGATCCACCCAATAGTATTCATGTAGAAGTTTCACCTACTTTTGTCCGGTAAGTATGTATTCAGACTAAAAAGTTGATGGGTATATATAAATTGAGTGTTAATTTTATTTAAATAATTTAAAATTTTAAATTGAATAACAAAACATGAGATAAGTTATAATTAGTAATAAAGTCTGACTCGATTTTTAGTTTGGTGTCACGTCAAGCAATAATCGAGAGATATTAAGATCACCTAAATACTAAATGGACAAAATGACCTAACTGTAACGAGAGTATTGCAATATAAAATCCTTATTAGGTGTCTCAACCCTCTTTTCGGGTTCAATAACTAGTTTCAAATATGTTTAATAATAAAGTGACCTAAATAGAAATATTTTTTTTTTTTCTTTTTTAACAAGAAAAAAGAAAATAAAAATAAAACTCCTCTGTTTGCCTTCGTTTGATTCAACCACTCTTTTTCTCTGTACATGCACATGTGTGTGTACAAAAGACCTTTTCCTCCATCTTTAGTTAATATTGCTGAAAGTAAAGGGAAGACTGGTGAGAGAGAGCACACATAAAGATGAAATTGAAAGCAAAAAAGGCTGCAACAATGGGGGAAAGGATAAAATAGGCCCCACACTCACTCTCTCTCTCTGTGCAAGTCTCTATCTCTTCAGAAGTGGGACCCATATCTCTCTCTCCTCTGTCACCCATGTTTGACTATCTGGTCACTTCACACACACACGCTCTCTGTGTGATGGAAGATCCCTAAAAATAGTCTGAGCCATCCTTGATTTCTGTGCCCTAATTTTGTACTGGGTATGATGTAAGCTGCCGAAAGTGGCTTCAGCTACCGCGCCAGCCAACTTACACGGCTCTTCCTTTGCTACTGCTGATACGCATGCTTATACATACATACAGTACACAGGGGTTGGCAAATAATCTGCTGATCATTCAAAAATATCGAATCCGTACTCACGGATTGAAATGTTAAAAATTTAATTCAATCCATAAAACTTATATATATTTTTAAATAATATATTAATTAATTTAATTAGCTAATGATAATTTAATGAACTCTAAAGAGTGTTAATAATTATTTAAATATATGAATTAATATTAATAAATTAAAATTTTATAAAAATAATAAATAATATTAATTATAAAAATAATAATGAATAATTTTAATAAAACCCAATCTGCGGATTCCATCTGATCTGTTCCGTTATTATACAGATTCAATTTGATTCGATCCGTCTAATCCGTTGGGAACAAATCGAATTAAAATTTATACTTAATTTGACCCAATTCGTGGTCACCGCTAATTATACATACATATAAATAGTACGAGAGTTTATAATTTTGGATGATATGTTGCTTTAATGGAAAATGAAATCTGTAAAATGAGTGATGATATGAATTGGACTGTTAATAATATTTTTTTTAAGAGTCTGATACCGTTATTGCCCATTTTACATTTATATTCATCCAAATCTATAACATCGAACAATTATAAACCATGGTATAAAGTGTGTTCATGCGGGTATATATGTCTCTCCAAATATAAATGTGGTTGCTCAAGAGTCCTATCAGCAAAGCAATTGAACCAACCAATTTGAGGTGACCCATTACATGGAGTCCTGCTTCACCAAGTAGAGTAGCAACACAGCTTTCATTTTCAAAACCCTAAAGATGTTGCAAAATGCCATATGTATATAAAGCAGACCTATCGAAGTGACCTCAAGAAATAGACACACTAGCTTGGTCCAAGCCTATTCTTATGTTTGTAAGCTTTAAATCATAAATGGGCCATTATAGTACTAGTACTTGCCAATTGAAATTAGTGGTCTGCCAACTTGGACATCTACCTATTTTTTGAAAAAAATTACTTTGTGCGTGTGTGTGTATATATATATATATATTTTCTTCTCCTAGTTGATACTTTAGGAGAATTCAAACCAACCACATTTGTCTATCAACTTATGGATATATTTGTCGAACAATCTCGCGGTATTATTGAGGATATAATCATCACTATGCCTGTATTAAGTTTTGAATCCTTTCATTTAAAAAGTAGAAATCTAATATCGCTAAACTATTAAGTATTTGATACAATTGTGATGTGAATTCCATAATTTGTGATTTATTGAGATTGTGTAATAATTTTTAAAGTTACTATTTAGATTTTGTTACGCATCTTGTAACAAAGTTGTGCTTTTATTTCAATACAAATTTAGCTATAAATAGTTTGATTTATATGAGAATGGAAGAAAGGGAATGCTTTAAACCCTAATATCCTTTCCCCCTCCCACACCCACCACTCTATCAGCAAAGACTCTGTTAATTTGCCACTTCAATAGTGGTGTCAAAAGTATATACTTCTTTTTGGTGTTGATTAAGATTGTCATTTTTTGGTCTTGACTAAATTGGATGGTTGTAATAATTAAAAATGATAATTTTTATTTTTATTTCTATTTTTATGAAAATTTTAATTTTTATGAAAATTTAATTGAGGAATATTCTGAGCACTATTAGTCTATTATATAGCACAGACAAATCGCCCCCTTTTTTGTAAGCATATTCTATAGATGTAAATTATTTTATGATTTTCGATTAACAATATTCTTTAGAAAAAGGTCGAAGAAACTACTTGCTAAGATGCTATTTATGTATATGTTATCGTTTTCATTTTCTTTTTTTTTTTTCTTTTTTTTTTCTTTAATATATATATATATATATATATATATTTACAGGGGTAAAGTGTGAAAAATAATCATTAATGTGCATATACCACATGATATTAAAAAAAAATCCTACATTTTTTAAATTAAGCAAATAAGAACATTTGGTTAGATGGAAATCAATACTGGAAAGTAAAAGTGAACAAAAATGAAGTGAGGGAGAGGGAAATAATTTCTTTTTAGGATTCATTTAGTTAGCGCGACTTTTTTTTAAAGAAATTTGTGAGAAAATTTCATTTCATAGTTTGAATAGCACGAAAATTAATTAAAAATATTATGATTTACCTCAATTGTCCATATATATTTTTATTAAATATAACAATAGGTCTATATTAATTTAAATTTAATATATATTTTTAATTTTAAAAAAATAAAAGTAATATAAGAATCTAAGTAATAAAATTTTATAAGATACCTAAAGAGATAGGTGGCTAGTAAAATATTCTTATAAAAAATCATGCATAAACACAATTTATTTTATTTTAAAAAGTGAAAAGAGGGGTATAACCGAAATTTTGTATAGTTTTCTCAAGAAAGCAAATTTTATCCGTGCTTTTTGTATGAAGATTGACTTTCCCACAAAATTTAATTTTTCTTTTCTTGCTAACCAAACTCATAAAAAGTTTTAAAAAATTCATTTCTATTCTTTTCTTGCCATTTCTATCTAACTAAACTAAGCATAAGGTCCAATTGAAATTTCTAAATTAGAAAATGAAAATGAAAATGATTTGTACCATCAATCTAATTTTTTTCTTTTTCAAACCTTGATTTTGAATGGATTAAATTTGTTTTCAAAATATTTAAAAGACAATGACTTGCTTTTATTTACCACTCCAATCATTAAAGTAAAATCTTTCTAACCTTCCAAGCCCAATCATTTTCACACGAGCTGAATCTGACAAGCCCAACCCATCTTGGTCATGGGCTTTTGGCCCAATCAATAATAGGGTTTGTTTGGTATGTACATGAAACCTATTCCATTCAAGGACATGAAAACCTGGTTCTACATATTATATATGCCCATATAACAAACTGCATAAAAGAACAAAAATTGAAATTTGCACCAACTTTGCCTCAGACTTCGACTCTGCTTTAGCTAACATCAAACCCTCATCTTTCTCGCTCGCGGACCTACAACCAGTACCAGTGAGTGCTCTCTCTCTCTATACGTGTTTATACACACACACACATATATATATATATGTATATGTATGCATATGGATGTATTGTTTTACATCATTTGGTCTCGAGTATTAGCAAATGTTTGTGATTAAAATGGTTGTTTGGTATGTACATGAAACCTATTCCATTCAAGGACATGAAAACCTGGTTCTACATATTATATATGCCCATATAACAAACTGCATAAAAGAACAAAAATTGAAATTTGCACCAACTTTGCCTCAGACTTCGACTCTGCTTTAGCTAACATCAAACCCTCATCTTTCTCGCTCGCGGACCTACAACCAGTACCAGTGAGTGCTCTCTCTCTCTATACGTGTTTATACACACACACACATATATATATATGTATATGTATGCATATGGATGTATTGTTTTACATCATTTGGTCTCGAGTATTAGCAAATGTTTGTGATTAAAATTGTAGTTAAGGTCGAGATGCTAATTAATGGGTTGCAATTTTCTTGATAACTTGTATGCAATTTTGGGTTTTTGTTGAACATCATCATCTCATTGATATATCTATGAAAAAATTAACGAATTCATTGATAATTATCAGGTTTGGAGACTGATTCATTGAAATTCATCTTGTTATGGAGGTTGTGTTCTTTTAATAATCAATTATACTAGTGAATCGCTCAGTCATTGATATATATATATATATATATATATATATATATATATATATATATTTCTTTTCGGGTTTTGGCCATGATTATGTAAACAGAATTGGAAGTAACCCTAATATGGAAACTTTAGAAGCAGACTAGTTAGCATATTTTTACCTGGTCTAATTGATATGACATCATTCGGAATTTTCGATGTTTGTTTTGCTCACACTTGAACCGTTGTTTAGAAAATGTGTTTTTTATGATTGTGTTTCTGATTGTCTTATACATTGGGTGTTCGACTCAAGTTAAGTTTATCAACTGTGGAATGTGAATTATTTGATCCAACATTGTTGGTTAAAACAGGAGGAGAAGTACAATGTTTTAAAAAACTGAACATTCAAGCTAGTTTAATGAATTATGTGTGCCTTTGGGTATCTGCGTTATAGTGAGTCTTTCCTAAAATTTCATCATTAGATTAGTTTGCTCTCCCTCAATCGACATGTACAGCTTGTTTATCTTGATTTTCTTATTTATGTCTTTTTCTCATCCAGTTTAAGTTCACTTGTTTCTCCCCATTCAAGGGGAAAGAAATGCCGCTGGGGCTGATCTTAGGTTTAGGAAGGATTATGCGGAGAAAGCGGACATCATCACTTGACATTCTCTCTTCAAAGAGAGGACCACGGGATTACTACAAGGGGAAGAACTGCAAGCCAACTGGTTTTCATACTCGCAAAGGTTTTATTGTTTGCCCCTCCTTTTATTGTTGTATAATATGGTAGTTATTGATTGATTGAAGTTTCAATTTGTTTCCATGCATAGTTTTTTTTTTTTTTTTTTTGCCCCTGAATGGGATATTTTTTGAATTTTATAAATAGAAGTACAATGGTACAATTACAAAAAGGGAGGGTAAACCTCCAAAAGAAACAGAAGAATGGACAACAAGTCCATCCAAAGCAAAACTAGAAACCAAATCCTGACTAGAAAAACCAGAAAGAAAACCAAAGCCTTCTTAAAATGAAAGTAAAAGCAAACAAACAAAAGAAAGCCATCCTCAAGAATGAAATCCTGATGAACCAGACCACAGCAAAACCAAACACTCAAGAATTGTTTTTTTTTGATAAGTAATAATAAATTAAAAAGGGCGTTCAATAGGGGAACGCGTCCCGTGGACAAAGGAACCGGGGTTCAAGGCCCTAACGAATCCAGAAAAGAAATTAAATCAACAGAAGAGGAACACGAACTTCTGTTTACATAACAAAAAAGAGAGCGAATGATAAAAAGTTTTAGTGTTGCTGTAGACAACTCTTTCCCTTCAAACATTCTACTATTTCGCTCTTTTCAGATACACCACCAAATACAATGTGGTACAGATCTCCAATAAGTATGAACGCTCCTACTCACGCGACAACCTCTCCAAGTATGAATTAGCTCCCTAGTAGAACGTGGCATTACCCAACACATGCCAAATAGGCCAAGAATGAGATTCCAGCAATCGCGCGCTACAGAGCAATGCATTAGGAGATGATCGACTGACTCCCCATTCTGCTTACATAAACAGCACCAATTAACAAGAAAATTTCCCCTTTTCCTCAGATTATCGATCGTCAGAATCTTTCCCTAAACAACAGTCCATACAAAGAATGCCACCCTAGTAGGGACCATGGAGCACCAAATAGTCTTCCAAGGAAAATCATAGGATGCAAAATTAGACAGACAGAAAAACAAGGACCTAACTGTAAAACGCCCGTGAGAGGAGGGAATCCAATTCAAACTGTCAAAACCCCTGCCAATTCCTTCTTGCCGATACAATTGATCTAAGAAAATGCTCACTTCTTCCAACTCCCAATCCTGAAATAAGCGCCGAAAATGAACATTCCACGTAATCCCACTATTATCAAGATGATAACAGTTAACAACTATGGCATGTTTATCAACTGCAATACTATATAACCTGGGGAATGTACGACATAAAGGCTGGTTCCCACACCAAAGATCATCCCAAAAGCGGACGCAGCTACCATCCCGAACTCTGAATCTGATATGAGAGGAAAAGGCATCCCATCCTTGTCGAATGGATTTCCACGCCCCAACTCCTCCCGCAATAGTACCGGACGTGTAGTCCAACCACCAACATCTTCCCCATACCTGCAGGACACTAATCTGCGCCAAGGACGATGTCTATCCTTCCCGTATCTCCACATCCACTTACCCAAAAGAGCTTTATTAAAAGGGATCAATTGTCTAATACCAAGATCCCCCAACTTTATAGGCTTGCAAACTTGCTCCCATCTAACAAGATGATACTTGAACTCATCTCCCTTACCTCCCAAAGGAAATTCCTTTGAATTTGTTCGATTCTATCAGCAACGGAGCATGCAATTTGGAACAAAGAAAGAAAATAAGTGGGAAGGCTTGATAAAGTGCTCTTGATAAGAGTTAGTTTACCCCCCTTAGATAAATATTGCATCTTCCAACCAGTCAACCTCTTTGCATACCTATCAAGCACAGAATCTCAATCCCCACTAACCTGGAAGAAACCCCCAAGGGCAATCCCAAATAAGGGATGGGAAAGGAGTTCACCCTGTACCCAAGAACTGCAGCTAAAGAAGAGATATCCTCAACATTCCCGACCAGGACAAGCACACTCTTGGCTACATTCACCTTTAACCCGGAAACTGCCTGAAAGCAAGCCAGAATGCATCTCAAGTATCTAAGTTGAGACACATCAGCATCACAGAAAACCAGAATGTTATCTGCAAAAAGTGGATGTGAAATCTCCACCTGATTGTTAATATCTCTTCCCACCCGGAATCCCTTGATAAGACCATGATTCTCTGTCTGTCACATAAGTCTGCTTAAACCCTCCATAACAATTAGAAAAAGAAAAGATGACAATGGATCACCTTGTCTTAAACCTCGAGAACACCTGAACAAGCCAGCTGGAGAACCATTCACAAGAATTGAGAACTTGACAGACGAAAGACAGGTCTCAATCCATGTCATCCATCTATTTCCATACAATAAAACCAGCAACCAATTATCTGGACCAGAGCAAACATCAGCAATTAAAAATTAGATTTAAGTCTTCCAGTCGCAGCTTGAGGTATGACAAAACCTCCCATACAATAACTTGTGCAACATGTGTAGCTTGATCTTGACTTCCCTTGTGCAAAGCTTCATTTCTAATAGCCCAAATTTTCCAAATAGCAGTTGAAAAAATTGCACTCAGCACTTTAGATTTAGTAGAATTCATGGTACTTTGCAAAGTGAACCACTCCACCAATTGCAACACTGAATTACAACCTGGATAAACAATATTCAGCAAAGAAAAAATCTCATGCCAGACCTTATTAGCATAGGGGCAAGAACAGAAAAGGTGGTCATTTGAATCCACATTCTTCATACAATTGTGACAGATAGCAGCTAAGGTAATACCTCTTTTCTGCAAATTTACCAAGGATAAATTCTTCTTGTGTAAAATGATGCAAACCACCACAGTAACTCGAGGTTTGCATTACTTCCAACATAAATCAGACCAGTGCACATTAGTATTTGAATGTCTACACTTATCCCAAGCAGCTTTCAATGAGAAACCACCATCCTTCCATCCAATAATGTCTGAACCAGGTATAATTTTTATCCTTTGAACAACACTAAAAACTCGCTCAGGGAAATATGCAGGCTTTTTCCATCTACCATTAACAATAAGCTAAGCCAATGAAGTCTGTCTGTCAATCTGTCTAAGCACAGTAGCTCCAAAACATTGAATTAAAGTTCGAGAATCACACCAAGGGAGTAAGCATTTTAAATTTCATACCATCACCAATCCTAAACTCAACATTTTGTAAAATCAGTTGTTTTACACCTAACAATTGTTTCCATATACAGCCATTTGATCCATAGCTTATCCTTCTTCTGAACAAAGTTCCAACATAAGGTCATTTTTGCAGCCACATCAATATCTTGAACTTTCCTAAGATTGAAACCACCCTCTGAGATTGGAAGAGTCGCTTGGCTCCATTTTACTTGAGACATCTTTTTAACATCTTGTTTTCCACTCCACAAGAAGTGTTTGAATTTCCTTTCTAAACCAATCTTGACCTCCCAAGGGATTTTAAATCCAAAAACCCAATGATAAAGATATAAAGCACTGATCTCAATAATTCAATTCTACCTGCAATAGAAAGATTAATAGTATTCCGGTGATTAAGTCTCCCATTAATCTTATCCAAAAGCATGCTGAAATCCCCTGTTCTCAAATTATTATTTGATAAAGGCAACCCGAGGTACTTGAAAGGAAAATTTTCTGTCTGTAACTTCAAGATATTAGAGATCCTTCTTCTACCTCTCGCTGACTTAGAGAAGATAACAGTGCTTTTTTCCTTATTTACCTGCAGACCAGTAGCCTTGGTAAATTGTTTGAACACTGCATCAATAGCCTTGACAGTTGGAATTTCTGCTTTAACCACCAATAATAAATCATCTGCATGGAAAGTATATGAGATCTTCATGTTTGCCTGTGATATAGCTTTTGAAACTTTAATTCTACCCTCTGTAATAGCATTCTCCATCAAATTATTGAAGAATTCTGTGACAAAAGAAAATAACAAAGGGGATAAAGGACATCCTTGTCTAATGCCTCTCGAAGCAGAAAAGTAGCCTGCAGGAACTCCATTACACAAAATTGAAAATTTTGGAGAAGTGGTACAAACAGAAATCCATTTGATCCATTTGTCACTAAAACCATGCCTGCGTAACACTCTCTGAATAAAGTCCCAATCAACAGAATCATAAGCTTTTTGCAAATCAACCTTCAAAGCAATGGTTGGATCCCCATGTTTCTTACCAAACCCTTTAATTAAATCTGAAACAAGGAGTATATTATCATGCAGCCTCCTACCTTTGATAAAAGCAACTTGCTCAGGTCCAATGATATTAATCTATTTGCTAAAATCTTGAATATGATTTTATAAACAAGATTACACAGGGCAATTGGTCTGTAATTTGCAATTTTATCACCATGATTAGCCTTAGGAATGAGAGTAAGAATTGTTGAATTGATACCTTGAGGAAGGGTATTCTCAGTGAAGAAATGACTGACAAGTATTTATAACATCTTAACCAATCCCTCTCCAAAAGTGTTGATAAAATCTTGCTGGAAAACCATCAGGGCAAGGAGCTTTGTCTGGATGAAAGTGCATGGCAACCCTTTTTATTTCCTCTTCTGAAATAGCACAATCCAAACTTTGATTATCTTCTTCACTTGGAACCTTTCTAGGGGCCCTCAGTTCAACATCCACTTCTCCATGCTTCTTATACAAGTCTTCATAAAACTGAACCAACCAGTCTTTGATAATTTTTGGATCAGAGGATGTATCACCAATGACATTTTGCAGTTGAGTAATGGCATTTGAACATCTCCTTTGTCTAACCACATTGTGGAAAAAAGCAGTGCACTTATCCCCCTCTTGCAGCCTTTTGAGCCTAATAGATATCTTCAAGATCAAGAGCAGTTTGCAATTTCCAGTCAAAAATCTCTCTCTAGCTATACAGTCTGGAGTTTCAGGCCCTTGTAACAGCTCCATTTGAACTGAATGTAATTCTGCTCTTGCCATTTGAATGCTTTCAGAAACTGTACCTCTATCCTTATTCCATTCCTTTACAGTAGCCTTCACAGCTCTTAATTTTTTCTGAAGAATGTACAAAGGGCTGCCTGTAACTGAAATCTCCTATGTTTTGCTAACAATCTTCTCAACTTCTTCTTGTAAACACCAAATCTTGAGAAATTTAAAAGGTTTTGGACCCTTTGAGCAGTCAAAAAACCATCGAATTACCATACCATAGTGGTCAGATAAGGAAGCAGGGGTAAGAGAGACCTTGGAATCATTGAACTGTTGCAACCAATCTGAGTTCACAAGCACTCTCTCCAACTTAGTATTTATCCTTGAATTCTTATTTTGTTTGTTACTCCAAGACCACTCACCATTATTTATAGGAAGATCATCCATTCAAATATCATAAATCAAGCTATTGAATTCGTCAAGTCTAGATTGAGGGACTTGAAGACCTCCTTTCTTTTCATGACTGTATCTGATGATATTCCAGTCCCGCAAAGCAATCCAAGGACCTGAAGTTATTTCAGCATGAATCTTGAGAGTTTTCCACAATTCTCTTCTGTCTGTAACTCTATTAGCAGCATAGACCCCAGTAATAAATATACTTCTGCCAGAGACAATATGTTTTACTTGAACAACAAGCATAGCTTGAGCATTTTCTTGAATCAATTCCACATCAAATAAAGCTATATTCCAACCAATCCAAATCTTCCCCAAATAGCTAGACTTGTAGTTAGCCAACCAACTCCATAGAGGGTATATTTTTTTTCTGTATGTTGGGTGCTTTACCCTCTTTTACTCTAGTTTCCACAAGGGCAGTAAACACAAATTTATTATCTAAAATCCACTGTTTTACTTCCTTCTGCATGGGAGGCCTATTTAGACCTCTCACATTCCAAGCTCCTAACATCATTGAGAGTTTGGTAGTGAGGCACTACCAGCTTGCATTTTTCTTGTGATTCTGTCTGAGGGGGGTATCACAAGCTTGTTTCTTTGTTTGGATTGCTTTCCCACTCTTGAACTCTCTTGTTCCTTTGGACTCCTTTGGATAGACTTAGAGTTACCCAGTTGAGATTTTGGAGTCTCCTGAGCCTGCGTATCCTCATCCACTGATAATTCTTCTATCACAACTGTATCCATCACATTATCAGTCCCAATAACATCTGCAGCATTAATATTAACTCGCCCTACAAAATCCATAGGGTTTACCACATTCACCACCTCTACTAAATTCTCCACACCATTAGTATCTTCATTGTCCTCCAAAATAACAACCTCCTCGGGTTCAATTGTATGTCCTTTTTCCACCACCTCCACTGGAATGTCCACATCACGAGGAGTCTCAATCTCCTCCAAAAGAGCAGTAACCTCATCTTCTATCAGCTTTTCTTTGTTCACCACCTCCAATGGAGTCTCCACAACATTAGTAACCTTATTATCCTCCAAAAGAGCAAAAGTATTTGAAGTAGGCACTGCGACTTCTTTTTGAATCCTTTTCACAGGCAAATCAGCAATCACTTGGTCTGCATCCTTATCTTCAATCATCTTCCCTTTTTGCTTAATCACCCAGCGATCCACTACTTTCTTTGGTTTGGCTTTGTGTTGTGTGACCTTAAGGGGACATCTCTCTTCACTGTGATCAACTCGTTGACACAATTTACACACTACAGGTTTCCATTCATACTCAAGTGTGACGTGACAATCAATGCCATGAATATCTATAACCATGGAGTCTGGAAGAGCTTCTTTGACTTTGACTTCCACCATTACCCTTACGAACTGACCTTTATCTCTGTGTGAATCTGGATCATCCATGTAAATTGGCTTTGCAAAGAAGGAGCAAACCTTTGAGACAGAATCTTCATTCTGGCAGTGCACCGGCAAGTCATAGATACGTAACCACACTGGAACTGTTTCTAGGATTTCTTTTTGCAAGTTTACATTTTTGTTCCATCTTTTCATGATAATAGGTTGTCCCTCAAACGTATGGTTCCTAGACAGCACCTTAGGGACATCTGAATCATTCTTGAATCAAACTAGAAAAAACCCATCCTTTAAATACACCAACGTGAAGTCTTTCGACCAATATTTGGCCACAAAGGATTTGAAATATGGATAATAAGGCTTCTTACCCATCACATAGCCAACAATAGAAGATTTCCAAAAAGCAACTTCTTCAACTACATCCGCTTCAGTAATAGAAACTTTTAACCCCTCTGCATTCTTTGTGATAGGTTAGATTCTTAAAAGTTGCGTGAGTTTCATCAAAAAAACTACTGTAAGTAGGTTTAGTAGGGGACGGATTCCGGCCTAGAGAACTTGCCGGAGGTGTGGGGGAGGAGGACTGGCCCTCCTCCATGGTATCTCGGTCCCTTGAAGCTACAAACCCTAATCGCACAATATTGCCCTAATCGTGAGAGAAAAAGGGTAAAAAAGGTATATCATAAAAAAAGGAACCGCTCGTTTCCATGCATAGTCTCGTAGCGTGTCAAGTGTTTATGCTTTTAATGTTATAACCAACAATAAAATTTCATCACCTCCTCCCTCTCCACCCATTTTATGGTTAAGGAATAAATCCTCTTGCATTACCTCTGTTTCCTTTCTTTTAGGTCCAAATTTTGAACGCGTTGAACAGCTATATACTTGTCCCTATAATATGAAAGAAAATAGAAATTTAAAAAAAGAAAAGAAAAAAAAACCCCACTTATTGGAAGGAAACTATATTCAGTCTGCCATAATCCTCACATCTTTTTTGCTTTTCAATTTCTTGAATCCGTCTTGTTACAAGGTAGCAAAGAAATCAGTGTTAAAGCAGCAGTTACTGAAATCAGTGTTTTATGTATATTATATAACAAAGTTAAATTATTTGGATATGCTTACCAGGGCTCATGTCCACCCCGGCATGTAAAAAACATTTCACATATCTTTGCCTAGGTGTCAATTGTTTGACATGGATATTTGACACATTTAGAAGAATAAATGTAAGTTAGGTTATAGTGAATTAGATATGCTTCCTAATTGCATGTCTAATGAGACATGTCGAACACACTTCACATATCCATATCCTCGTGTCATCAGTCTAGTACGATATTTCACACATATAGAAGAATCCATATAACATAAATTATAGTGGATAAAATTCACTCCACATAAAAACCTTTTGTCATATTTTTCCACCTAAGGAACTCCACGTCCTCAATGATGGTCTTTATAGAACAACCTTTGGTGCTTGTGTTGGCAAGATTGAAAGTTGAAGAGACTTTTTTGTTCTCCCTAGTTTCATTTGAATCCTTTGTAGGGATGTCAACGTGGAGGTACCCGACCAACAAAGAAATATTAATTTCCAACCCTTCTTGCTTCATGCTATATTAGAGTTAGGGCGGGTTCAAGACGCCCCGCTAGCATACATTTATTGAACAAAAAAAAATCAATCTGAATAAATTTACAGTAACTTTTTAGAAAAAATACTTAACAATCATATTCATAAATTTTCTTGACTTTATAATTAAAATTTTAAATCATAATAACAAACAAGGAAAAGAAAGACTCTAGTTAATTATAGAACACACACACACACATATATATATGTATGTATTTGTATTCATTGCTAATCGGGGCAGGTTTGCGTTTTTGACTCTCTTTCCAAGCCTGCCCCTAAACTGATTACAATGCATCCAATCCCATTCCAGTAGAGGTGGGGCGGGTCTCCTCCGGGGTGGTTAAATTTTAAATCCCTAACCCATTCCTACCATTTTGTGATTTGAGTGTGCTGACTGAAGTGAAAAGGATTTGCACAAGGGAGAAGGGATATTGATAACAGTTCTGTTTTCTATTCTTTATGGAAAGGAAATTAGAGGGGAAAATTTTCCATTGACTGTTTCTATATGGGAGAGGGGTGAAAGGTGAAGTACAAACCACATTCCAAATTCATTTTCTCATTAGTAATTCCCCATGTTCCTAATAAGGGATAGCAAATTTGATTATCAAGACTTATAAAATGTGGAGCCAATTTAGAGCATTGTATTGAACTCAAAAAGTGTAGATACACAATTTCCAGCTCTCGATCTTTTTTTTTTTTTTTTCGTTTTCCCTCGAGGACAAAGTTTAAGAAATAGTGAGAAAATATAATCTTTTTGCCAATCATGTGGTTGTTCCAAAGATTCTTTACTCCAAATGAGAACTTTAGAGTAAGTTAACTCCAAAAATAAAAGAAATAAAATGTAGGGAAAAAAAGAAAAAGAAAAAAAAAGAAAGGAATCCAATAGTGAACAAAGATTGATAAAAAAATCAATTAAACTTATTTTATTGCTACTCTTGCTCCTACAGAATCTGTCTAAAATGCAATCAAATTTGTTTGCTGGATTGTGGATCCTTGTCTCAGTTGTCTCATTTCTTTCAATATCGATGAATTTCTTTGTATCAGAATTGCTTTTAATAGCCTTGAATTGCTCCCATTGAATGTTATCTGACATTATAACTATTTATAAATTTAGCCTCTCTATGCCCTTCCAATGTGTCCACGTATGGCGGTCACTAAAAGATATAGTTTGTTTAAACATCTGTTGAAGATATAAGCTTGGCATAGAAAGATATTTGTTTGGGGTTCACTCTCATCGGTTGGTTTGTTAACTTTGCAATTATAATGTTGGTGCAGGTGGGTACGTTGTGGTGAATGAAAAATTACCAAATTATGTTGTCCTTGATTAACCAATTTCAAGGTACTCATTTTCCGTCCATAATTATGTAGATTTGTTTTCCTATGAAATCGAACAGTTTAAAGGCGTGTTCCTACTGCTGTTCCGCATGGCAAAGAAATGCTTATTGACATGGAAGTTAGAAGGTTAATTTAATTGTTGGTGCACTTTCGAACCTAGTATGCAGTTAGTTAGTTTTTCGTTAATGCGTATGTTCCTGCACACAGTAGCTGACACTTTTGCTCATCCTTACCTTTTCCGTGTCTGCCAACAAAAGAAATTTCTAGAATCTTTTTGTATTGTTCTTTTACATATGTTCTCCTTTCAGAAATATAGTTGAAGTATCATCTATGACGATAATGATGATAAAAATATAGACATTACAATATTATATTATATCAAGTTATAAGTGTACTTTAACCCCATTGTCTGAGCTAACTACCAAATTGTCATTACCACCAATTACTTCAACCGAAATAATGCTCAATTTATTGCAATTTCGTGTTTGCACATTGGTGTACATGTTGTCTAATTGGTATAACGTTACAGGTTGATTGTACTTGTGAAGGTCTTGAAACCATTTACAAATACTGATGGTAAATCGATTAAGATGGTTGATTGTATTCACCAGACGTGGATTTTGTTATCATTTGTGTGGTCTTTAGATTGATAATGGATTTCTTGTGTAAGACTGTCTCCAGTTCTCGTTTAGTTAAATCAGTAATAACATAAATATGAGAGGAGAATAGCTTTGATGGTCAAATAGAATAATGATTGATTAATGGCTTGAAAGCTCACATAATTTTAGTTCTATCATTTAAAAGTGGATCATAAATTCTGTCAACTTAATATATTATGAATTGGAGTCTATTGCTATTTAATATGTTTGGTAAAAACTCCAGAATTTTGTGAATGGAACAATGAAAGAGCTCATCTCCAAATTCGTTTTATTAGTTTCTAGTTAATTGCTGTATCTTCGTAGTTTATTCATCACAACTGGCTGTAGTGAATCTAGGGCTATCCATCTATAGAATAGTTTTAAAATTTAAAGTAACCCTTGTTGCATTGTGGTAATGGCATGGTTCAGTTGAAGTTTAATTAGAACCTTTCTGATTATTATTGTATTTATAAACGAAGGAGATGTCCAAATCTAGATGAAAAAGCGTACCAAGTGAAATGTTCTAAAGCTTTCTCAAGTAAGTCTCTCCTATATTTCGTGGTAATCATATATATTTACACGCAGAAATAATATAGTTCAAGTTGATGTTAAATTCCATGGACGTTCCAGTGGACATCATGCACTTGTTACAAACACCCCTAGAGCCAAGCAAGGGGGTCAAAGGGTAGGATGTTGCCCAAGTATAGACTCTAGCCGCCGGCGCCCGGGGGTGGGCGCGTCTAAGCAAACTAAGGTCAATTTTTCAATATTGATTTATTAATTAAAGTTAAACTAAACTTCTTTGGCAAATATTGAATGATGCAAACTGAATTTAAGCATTAATTGTCAATATTTATGAAGAGGCATATCAAGACATACATGAAGCAATAAATATGAGAGATAAAGATAAAAGTTGCAAACATGTACTCAGCGATTTTAGCGAGGTTCGGAAACTCCTACTCCTCGGCTCAAGACCCCTCTTGAGACTTCCCAATTCACTAAGGCTTCTCCTTGCGGGTGGAGAGCAAACCTTTTTCAAGAAGCACCTTCTAGCTTCTAAGTGCTAAGAGATACACCTTCTATTAGTTTTCCTTGAGCCACACCAGCTCTTATAAGTTTTTGAAATATATAGATGAAGTACAAGATGATCTCTCTTTCAGATCTGAAATACAAGATATAGCTCACTCTAGAGTATATATAAATAACTTGAAGCTCAACTCTCTTTTAAGATATAAGATGTGTATAAAATGATGATAAAAAGCTTTGATTGCTAGTTGATCTTTTTCAATAATTTCTTCTAGCTTTTATGAAGTTATTCAGTCATTATATACACTTTTAGATGATGTCTGATACTTTTTTAGCTGTTGGACACACACCCCAAGACAGAAATGCCTGTTAGAATTTTGAAATGCGCAGCTTCAGTCGACCGAAGTGAAACTCCCTTGAGTTTCAGTCGTCCGAAATGGTTTTCTGTTTGGACACCCTTCTCAGTACTTTAGCTTCGGTAGACCAAAGAGGAACCCATGTTTATTTCGGTCGACCGAAATAGTTTCAGGATTGAAATTCACCCTTTTGGTATATCTATTTCGGTAGACCGAAGTGAACTCTTAGTTATTTCGGTCGACCGAAATAACTATTAGTTGGATTTGTATATTCATTTCGGTAGACCAAAATGAAATGATGATTTATTTCGGTAGACCGAAATAACTTGAAACTTTGATCCTAACTCTTGGTTCATTTCGGTAGACTGATATACAAGTGCTTCTCATTTCGGTAGACCGAAATGACTTGAAGCTTTGATCCTAACTCTTGGTTCATATCGGTAGACTGATATGCAAGTGTTTCTCATTTCGGTAGACCGAAATGGATTCTCATTTTTAGATAAGGATATGCTTAGGTCCTTTGTTCCTTAGTCATGGTGATTGAGATGAAATGCATAATGTTGGAGAGTTTGAACTTCAAGATATTCATATACACTTTAACAAGGCTTCCTAAGAAACTCATCGACCTAGCTAACCCCATTTTGATAACTTGTGATGACTAGACTTTGACTTTTGCTTGCTTGGTCCTTTGCTCATGCCTTGGTGTTGCTTCTTCAAATTTGTCCTTGTATTGTAGTGCTTGTTTTGATGAATGCTTTTGTGATACCTCCGAATTTCCGAATGCGGGTTGGCCAGGCTCACGCCCGAATACCCGAGGATATCAAAACAAATTGATGATAAACGAACACAGAGTACAAAAGAATAAAGAAGAATAAATAAAATGCTGACGAAAAACTAAAATGATAAACTAATAATAAACCTCATAATATATTTCCATTAATTAATAAACTCTTCTGATACAACTGATCCTCCAAAATATAACTCGGGAATCCATACTGTGTGGACCCCTAGAAAATCCAAACTAAACAAATGACAGTAATTTAAAACAGGAAACTGAATCATAAAGGAACTCCTGTGTAGCATCGGAAGAATGAAGTAGACTGATCCCCGCTCAGCACGAACAACCTCTACTCGTGACGAACACCTGAAAAATAATGGTAGGTCAGGCCCACAAACAAGTTCTACTCTACTACAGTCCAAGTAGAGATCCGATACACGTATACATCCTAGTCAATCCAACAGTAACTAGTAGTCCGTATATATATATATATACACACTAAAGGAACCTCACTAGACTATAGGGTTGTCTCAACCTAAATAGTAGGCAACATGCAAAACGCACATATAGTGGGCATGAGTACCTAGACATACCAGGGTATACAACTACACTATATCTAGCTACACATCCCTGGTGATATACGCGCCCTAACCATTGATCCTGAGACTCAAGCTCATATCATGGCACCATACTTATATATATATAATCTAGTAACCATCCTATCCAGTATAAATTAATCCTCCATAAGTCGTTCAACTTGTTCAGCTGACCTGACTTGAATATAAGTAGGATTTAACATTTTAGTTAATCCATTCCCTTATATAATAAATTAATACTCCATAAGTCATTCAACTTGTTCAGCTGACCTGACTTAAATATAAGTAGGATTTAACATTTTAGTTAATCCATTCCCTTATATAAAATAGGTAGGACTTAACTAATAAGTTAATCCATCCCTAGAATGCCACCGTCCCATACCGGTGCATTAAACCACACAATCTAACAATTGATGTAGCAATTAAGGAAGTACATCAAACATTCCATAAATAACTATGATAAATATGATATCAAGTTATTACATAATAGGAATGACTTATTATTTCTTTAAACTTCCTATATCATATGTCCTACACAAACTGAATCTTATACATGATGATATTTTATTATACCATTAAATAAGGATTCTCTATATCCAATTCATCCTACACATTTAATCTCAATTGCTAAAATATTTTAAAAGATTAAATCCATTCGTTTGTTTAAAACATTCAAATAGGAAGCATCATTATGATTGAGTCTATTTAAATTTATTAACACCCAAACCTAGTCCCTAGTTAATATTTAGGAATCCTAGGCATGTTTCTACGTTCCATCATTCCACAGATATGAAAAATACGTAATTTAAACATGTAAAAATTCACATAAGAAATCAAATCAAAATTATGCATTTTATCAATTCATAACACAAGAACAGAAATGAACCAATTTCATAAAACCTATGTTCTAACCCAATTAAACATGCATAATTATTTAATTTTATGTGTTTAATAAATCCTGAAATTTCCTAGGCATGTACAGAAACATGAATCAAAGGGAAAGAGATAGAAGAAGAACTTACCTTAAACTTTCGGATTGAAAGTTAAACTTCTTCTTCCTTGATCTTCTCTCTAAAGGGTTTTCTCCTCCTTCCTTCCTCTTTCTCCTTCTCTCTCTAACTCTCTCTCTCTAGAATAAATATGTGATATATTTTCACTCCTTTTTCAACCTATAGTTGTGTATTTATAGGCTAAATAATAATCCTATTCCTTTTCCCAATCCAAGTCAACTTAATAAAGAAAAATAAAAAATGAAAATATTAAAAAGGTAACTTAAAATATGTTACGTATATAAACTATGTATATCCTCATTAAATAAATAAAATATATACATCAGATTATTTATTTATACTAAAGTTACCATAATATTAAAAAGTAACTTAAAACATAATACGTATCAAAACTATGTATATTTTTATTATTTAAATATAAAACATATACATCAGATTAAATATTACTAACCAAGTTACTATAAAAGTAATTAATAAATTTACTTTCCCTTTTATATATATTAAAAAGGTAAGTAAAATATGTTACGTATATAATTTATGTATATGTTTATTAAATAAATAAATTATACACATTCCATTATTTATTAATGGATTATCCAA